TATACGAAAACGATTCTGAGCGAAGACGGTTTGTCAGTTTGGATATTTTATAATATTGTTATTATATTTTATCATAGCCTGTATATTGAATTGATATTATAAATTTCAACAAAATAACTTCAACAAAAATCGTTATTAGATTCTGAGTGGAACTAGGAATAAGCTATTGCTTTTACAATGGTGTTTATTTATTTTTTTATCCTGTATACGTACATAATTTATACCAGAAGGAGTGCTTCGATTTCAACATACAGTACCTTATCTTTTAGCAAACTGGATCAAGATGGTACTTTAAAGAGGGCATTTTTCGATTTTCTCAATAGGTAGTTATTTAATTCCGACAAAAACTACTGACAAATTATGAAAAACCGCTAAAAATGGGATTTTAATTGCTACCATTGAGCGGAGAGTATTTTTTCATCTTACACGACTTGTAAAACCTAAGTTGCTCACTAATCGCTAATACAATGATTGACCATCCTAAAAACATACAAATGAACATGTTTTTATATGAACATAGTCAATAATATACATTATGCGTAGATTTTTAAGATAGAATTTTAAGTGAAATTAAATTACTACTAATAATATTATTGTCAATCGATTGTCTTGTCGGTATTTTGGTTGTCGGCGGATTGACCCTGTTGGTTGATTGTCTTGTCGGTATTTTCAATTTTGGATGTCGGTCGATTGTCCTGTCAGTCGAATGGCTGTCGGTCGATTGTCCACCTTCCCGATAGTATATCAACATTTCAATGTAACGTGTAGTTTTTTATATTAAAATTTAAAAATAATAAAAATACTAAAAGAGATTTTTTCGTTAAACACGGACCTGTAGTAAATACTATAAACAAAAATACTGGACATTATCATTTAGAAATTGGCAAAACATTTCTTATCAAAATACCATTAGATTATCATTGCTTTCCGAGATTGTTAACATAGTCGCTTATATTTTTACTCCTTAAGATTAACGTGAACAATATAGCAAAATATTTAAATATGGGTAAATTATATACAATCTCGGAGGACAATGATAACAATTTATTCAGCACTATACAATTGGTCTATGATTTTAGTACAGGAGGGTCCCGTATTATCGTTTAAAAAAATTGCCTGTAGTCACAACGGCGTCGGGCTTCTGTGGTTACAAAGGCGTTAGTAACTATAGGTAGGTACACTTTTATACAATTTTAAATATTTCAACAAAAACACTAAACACTCAGAAAAATTGTGGTTTCACTAACCTCTTTAGTACATATAAACATACCTATCAAATTTAGCTAGGTATATAACAAAAATTTGAAAATTTACCTAATTAAAACTTTTTTCTCTATTTTCTTAGTTGGTAGGTTGATTGTTCATTTGTTAAATACAGGTAGGTGAATTATTGTATTCATATAATTATTCACGTACAATATAGGCAAATACAGCAAGTCCTTTTAAATCCTGTAGTAAGACATTACTTAAGGGGCCTGGTCGCGATTTTACAAATTTTCCGCAATTCTATAAAATTTGAAAATTAAATTTTATATTTTAGTTGCCACCTCAATTATAAGACTTTTCCACTAATCTACTACCCAATACCTATTTAGGGGGGGTTGATAGGGTGTATTATATCGGTCAAAACACAGTTTACAGGAAAAACTCTCACACCTCGTAGATTGGTCCGATTTCCGTAATTTTTGTTTTGTTAGATAGAAGAATATTTTTTACAGGGCGCATTGGACTTTGATTTTTGATTACGTTGCTAAAAATAAATAATAATACAAAAACTAAAAAGTTGTAAAAATGGATTAAATTCAAACTTGTAATATAAGATTTCGAAAAATAATTTTGAAAATCCAAGTCCAATGCGCCCTGCAATACGTCTTCCTCTATTTAACAAAAAAAAAATTACGGAAATCGGACCAATCTACAAGGCGTGAGAGTTTTTCCTGTAAGGCATGTTTTTGAGCAAAAAACCAGGTCGCGACCAGGCCCCTTAACGATAACAAATTAAATATATCCATGTTTTAACAAATTGTTGGGCCTGAAACAACGAAAAAATAAAAAAATATTAACAGAACTATTCAAACTGAAAAAAATGCTGAAGAACTTAACATATTATTACATAGATTATTTGAAAACTTAAATAATAAAGCTGATTGTGAGAATTGCCATCTGTAGTATCTGAAAATGTAGAGTTTAATATAGTGACAACATGAAAACTAGTTCAGTAGAAGAAAATAAAGTATTACATGCACCATTGCACTAGCGCCAAAAATATGTTATAATGATACCTATACTATAATTTTTTAAACTTCATCTGAAATAAATAAAAATATGCCTTTAAATGATTATAACCAGACCACAGTTATTAAGAAATTAAAAGTGTTACCATTACATGAGTGTTTGATATGTCCATTAACGTCTGAACGAAAAGGAAATCGACAAACTGAACGATTACCATTTGCCGTTTAATCACAAATGTTAAATGATATAGATGAACATAAAGAAGATATAAAGAAAATTATAAATAAAGAAAAATAAAGAAGGAAAAGGAAAAAAGATAAAAACTCATATAGCATCATTAAGTAAAAGAAATTTTAAGTATCTGTTATTCATTTTGAAATTAGGTACAATAAAATAAGAAAATCGATTTTGTCAAAAACTTGCTTTGCGTCAAAATTCTCGATTTTTCCAATTTTTTTTTTTAGTGTTCCCTATTATAAAAAAAAAAAAATATTTACACAAAAAAAAACTTAGGCACACACATATCATTTTAAAATGAATATAATAATTTCCCACTCAAAATCTAATATAAAATAAAATGCTTACATCAAAGCTTCTTAAAAAAAAAGATTTAACATTTTGAGGGCATTTCACGCGCATTTTCGCTAAGTTATAACTTATAATAGTTTATTTCTCGGTATTTAATTTTCTAAATTCGCTTATATATTATATTTTTTGTTTTAAACAATTTTAACTTTTCTTTAAATTACATTTCAAAAACACATTTAATATTATATAGATACTGTTTGAATTGCTGTTTTCTTTAATTTGAATAACGAATATTTTTATTTCTATTTAATGGCCCTAAAATCTTCAACGTGTATATTAATGTATATCAATGTTTATATTATACCGAATATTAACCTCCTCAATCACTGGATATCCTCTTTAAGATAATTAATAATTAATAATTAATTCAAAATACATAATTTTGATAGGGTTTCAATACTCTTACAATAATATTATCGTATATTTGGATTAATTGTTTATAGGAAAAATTAATAAATAAAATCATCATAAATAGATCACATTACTATATAATAATATATTAACAGTAAATAAAATTGCGTCGAGATAAAATAACGCCTGTGAAATTGAAATGATAGGCCACACAACTGGTTGTCTCTACACGGTCATTACGAATCTTCGTTTTTAATGTATGATATATTATAGCCAATTAGAAAACAATTTAAAGTTATGTTTTTCATCCAGACGGTCTTGTTGTAATATACTATACAATCTTTATTCTTTAATACAAACAAGCAAAACTTGATATAATATGATATATAATATAGATATATAGATATTAATACACCTATAGGTATATTAATATTCTTATTATTATCATAATAGTTATTTATTATTTAGAAGCTAGAGTAAAATGTTTATATGTATTAAAATAGGGAAAACCCAGGGTTTTACTGAAAATCAATTCTATTAGGTTTTTTTTATTGCATTTCAAAAATTATAATTTGATTAGACTTAAATTTTTCAAAAAATAGTAGTAGAAACATTTAACCACCATTACCTACTTTTCATTTTTTATAGGTATTCATTGAGATATTATTTAGATTCATTTTGAGTTATTTATATACGTTTGACATTTTCGAACTTTTTTAGTTTTATTTTATAAAAGTTGATAAAAAGTTTAATTTCAATCAAAAAGCTTAATAAAATAAAATAGAATAAATAACATTTAATAAAAGATTATAATATACAAGTTTTTTATAGCAATTTAAAAATATCAAAAATACTTAAACATAACTTTTTTTATAGATGTTGAAGTTCATATTTTTATGGATTTTTAAAATATAAATAAAAATGTAAGTTTTTTTTTTTTTTTTTGTAATTTTAAAATAATATTCTTGGAGACTTGAAACTTTTTGACATTACATATTTTATTTTAATTAGGTATTATTAATTTTACTATACACAATGACATTTTAACAGTATTTTAAGCATTTAAGCTATTTACACCACTAACTTATTATTCGGGCCGTTCTACAGTACGTCAGTATTTAACAATAATATTTTAAGATATTGATATTATGATTATGAATTATTTAAAAAATGCAATGTTAATGGTAAAAATTGATTCAACCTATCGTATTGGTAATAAATGATGACAGAACGTTTCCACTTTCCACTTAGAATCGTTTTTGGTACCTATGCATTTTTTTTATCATTAAATCGATATTTAACACATCCATTACTACAGTATTACTCATGGCGAGGTACATTCGACACCTACTATATGTATACAGCAGGTTGACTTCTCTCTTCTCGGGTTTTTGCATTTAATTTTACAATACGTATAGGTACACAGTATAGGTACCAGGTACCTACATTATTTTGTCTGGTCCATTTAGTTCCAATACACACATTATTAATACTTTAATATGTCTTGGTTTTGTATAATTATTACTAAACTATATATTATAATTTAGTGCGATTTGTAGTTTTGACAGTGTTGAGCTTGAAATCTGAATACAAGGTTACTGGAACGGGAACGCCTTCGTTGAGAACGGCCGAGACACCACCACCTGCAGACATGCATCATATTATACGCCATGTGTACGTAATAGGTACTTACAACTCACCGCTTCGGCGGGAGTGGATCGACGCACAAAATCGTATATAAAGCGGACGATCGACAATATACTTTACACTCAGTCAACGTTCAGTCAACACACTCAACAATCAAAAATACTTATTTATTCACCATCATGGCATTCCAAGTAAGTACCTACCTATAATTAAGCGTTTTCTGCTTCTATACCTAAACATTGGATTTTCGTTTCGTCTAGTGGTTATAAAAACAGCTAGCTATATATGTTTCTATACTATTACTTACCCCATTCAATGGTGTTAAAGGATTTACTTTTTTTTTTTGGGGGGGGGGGGGGGATTATTTTTAAATATTTTTAGACTTTTGTCAAAAATACTATTTGGTTGGCTGCAATAATTCGCCTCAAGAGAATAATGCCCGCTTTGCCACACATCAAAAAACACACCCATGCTCATATTTCTTGGCTTGATAGATACAGTTCGTTCCTAGTAAATTTTGTTTTAAATTAATTTAAAAACGTTCGGGAATTAATGAGTTAGTACCTATATAGAGCGTAATCGAACCTTGTATACATTCTAGTCGTACCTACAACCTACATAATTTTGCAACTGTACCTATCTATGTATACTGTAATACTAGTAATATACTATTTTTATATTTTCAAACCAATAAATTATTTAATGAACAAAAATAATGTTCCATATAATACACCGATTCGATATTATAAAATTGATATATAAAGCAATATCGTCAACGGTGGATTTTTTTGTTGATAAAAATATCGATATCAAATAATAATATAATATGTAATTTGTCTAAAAAAAAAAGTCGCTACTAATTAAAATGAAATATTATTGTAATATACCTTCATATTTTTCTGTTGCAGACCGTCGCCGTCTTCGCCTGCGTGCTCGCCGCCGCACTCGCCGCCCCCGCCTACCCGACACCTGCTGCTTACCCAGCACCCGCCGCCGCCTACCCAGCACCCGCTGCATACCCAGCACCCGCTTACTCCGCACCCAAGTCCTACGCCCCGGAACCTGCCTACGCCCCAGCCCCATACAACTTCGAATACAGCGTGCACGACGATGCCACATACGACATCAAGAGCCAGACCGAATACAGCGACGGCAACGGTTACGTCAAAGGATCCTACAGCCTTGTCGAACCCGATGGCACCAAGAGAATCGTCGAATACACCGCTGACGACTACAACGGTTTCGTCGCCGAAGTGAAGAAAGAAGGCACACCGTCTTACAGCTCCGCACCGGCCTACAAGCCAGCATACAAGGCCCCAGCTTACTCCGCACCAGCCCCAGCTTACTCCGCACCAGCTTACTCTGCACCAGCCCCAGCCTACAAGCCAGCATACTCTGCCCCAGCTTACTCTGCACCAGCACCAGCTTACGGATACTCCACCCCCGCCCCGGCTTACGGACACGCCGCCCCAGCCTACAAGCAATCGTACGCCGCCCCAGCATACAAACAATACTAATTTATAATGAATTCTAGGAACAAATAATTTATTGTATTTTTATGTAAATAAAATTTCAAATTTTCAACTACCAAAATATGTTTTAAAACTGTTTTTTATACTTAATACATTTTACTTAACCCATCTGATCATACCGCATTGTCCGATGTCTTAGCACCGATACAGAAAATATTAGTTTAATATATAATATATATGTAAAACCCTTGCTTTAAAACACCAATTACAGTTAAACAACATATTTATAAAATGGACTTTAAGTGATGAAATAAAATTAGGTTCTTGTAATGAAATTACTAATGACATTGATACACAGAGGCTATTAGACATTTTATAGAAAAAGATTCACTTGATTCAATAATAAATTGCCCATGGATATCAGTTCAAGGTACACAATACACGCCTAAAATGGTTCTTACTTTAGATATATGTGAATTAAATGGTCCAATTTTTTTTATGATAAATAAAATATATTTTTGTATAAATGAATAATTATATATCAATGTTTCAAACTAAATGCTACGATATTTCATGAACTATCGTTGAAATGAATTATCGTTCATTAGAAGTAGGAAAAGAAATCAATGACAGTATTTTTATTTATTAAAATGATTTGGCGTCATATACTTCAAATCATATATTTTGTACAATGCTTATTGGTAATAGATATATCACTCTTAGAGGTTAAATAATAATATATGTGTATTTACTTTTTACTAATTTAATGTTAGAAGTAAAACATTCTTTCATAATATTGTATAAACTCCTCATTCCATGAATGTATAGTTACTATAATTTTTAGGTAAGATAATGCACTGTATATAGTACCTATATTTTTATCTACCCTATTATATTAATATAATATTATGTATATATTTAATGTATAGGCTACAAATATTAAGCTAAGAAAACACTTCAAAGTATTAATATAGTATATCTTAGTCACCTACCCAATTGGCTTAGTTAGGTATAATATTATTATTACCTATATAATTATACTGCGTATCCCTACATCACATTTTAAAAAAAGTATATTTTAAATAAATAATTTTAAAATACATTTTCTAGCAATGCATAATGATTAATTATAACACAATATTTTATATTTTCGTACGGTAATTTATATAATATTTATAATAATAATATATACTGACAAATATGTTTATATTTACCTACAGTTGCAAGTTTTTTTCCCCTTTTTGCGTCGTATTTTGTCCCGGAAAATCCATTTGTAATTGTCGGTTTTCGACAGATCTTTTATTAACTTAATTGCCCGTCCTTGGGTATATTTTATTTCTGTTGGCAATGTAGGTACCAAAACTTTGTAATTTGAGATCAAACCTAAACCTCGTTTAAGTTTGACCACTCTAACAAATCGAAAAAAGTTATATGTTTTTCTATTGTAATGTTGACAAGAATAGAAAAACAAAATTATTAATATCATATAGGTGGTATCAAAAGCTTGATTTGTAATTTTATCTTATCGATGTTTATCTGCTTTAATTAGAGTATATACCTCTTAAAATGTCAATAGCTTCGTGCACATTTGTTATAAGTCACGAAATTGATATTTTGCAGGAAAGCTATTTTAAATTTTAACTTTTTTTAAATCCACTTAACTTAAGTAATATTAAGTTAATTCGTTTTTTCTAAATTGAAATTACCTAACTTAAAAATATATGTAGTTTTAATGTTCTAATGTTTTCTTTTAATAAGTACATTGCTCAAATAGAGTCAAAATATTTTGAACATTTAATCCTGTATAGAAAATGTTTATATAAACATTTGGTAAACATTTATAGCATCATCTACGGTTATTAGTTTTTGGGTTACACCAAATTAAACAAAACAAAATCAATTATCTCAATAAATTCATAAAAATCTCATGTGCCTGTGCCTATATTAGTAAAATATTAAATAACTCTATATTTTTGAAACGAAAATTTATTTAGGACTTATTCTGAATCTACTTTCTTATTTCTAAGAATATTTAATAAGGCTAGACAATTTAATCAATTTTCTGGAATAGCATTTCTCAAAAATGTTTTTTACCCTTTTCATTCAGAGTTGAGAACGTTCTTTCGGGCGTTGCAGTTGAAACTGGGAATGTAGGTAGGTAGCTAACTTTTAATCAAAATAATATACTTGGAAATAACCGTGGGGCTCGGATATTATTTATTTTCGTTCAAGTGCATATTTTAGAAATAAAATATACATAGTATGATCGTCTAGATGATAAATGTGACGTGGTAAGGCGTTATGTTTAGACGGAGCCTAAACCTGCCGGAACCTATCTTGTTTTTCGGGTATCCCGACGACTGCTGGCGACGGTGTCCGGATCAGTGCTCCTCGTCGTCATCCGCAGTGGCCTGTTCCACTCACCTCTGCCAAGTCGCTCACGGTGGGCTCGCCAAGCGCAAAGACACGGCAGCCACTCCTTCTCCTCTTCCTTCTACTCCTCCTCTTGCATCCCATCGACCTTCGACTCGACCGCCTCCTCCTTCGCCTCTTCCGGCGGCGGGTACCACAAGGACTTGGGCAGTTGCTGACGTCGGTGGTGGTGTCGGCGTCGTCGTCGGTGGTGTAATCATCGTCATCATCGTCGCCGCCACTTATCTGATATTGACGGCGACGACGTCGGCTGCCTTTTCGCCTCCTACTTCTTCTCGCCCTCCTCAGGGATGTCGCGTCAAATGTTGACGATTCGTCGTCGTCATCTTCGTCTTCCTCGGCGTCTGTGGTCATATCGTCTTCGTCTACGTCGGTCCCACTACGTCTTCTTCCACGTCGGCGACCGGACCGCGACCGACTACGCCTCTTGCGGCTCTTCGACCTACGCCTCGTCGATCGGCGGCCCATACGCGTCCGGCGAGAGCGTCTCAGTGCTACCACGCCGCTGATGCCACCAGTCAATCGACTGCCACCACCGCCGTCTATGGAGTAGGTTGGTACGCTTGGAACGTTTTCGCGTCTTCTCAGCGTCCCGCATATGTCTGATAACTTTTTCACAGCCGGTCGCTTTTCAGTGACCCGTTTGCTGGTCATAATGATGTGCAACGTTGGTCTCGCGATATAATAATTTTAAAAAACGGCACTCTGAAAAACTAAAATATTTAATAATATAATGTGATTTATTCACACTACTGTTGGATAATAAACAACGCATCCATACAACAAGCTGTATAAACCTAACATAGTTGTATTTTCATTTTGGCCAGCAACACTAAAATTGATGAAACTCACTCGCCACAGGGCCGTATTTATGGGTTCATTCGGAAGTTGGGTTAAATTTCCTGAGGGTGGCAAACTATTTTTTAAATTTTGCTGTTCTATCATTTTTATAAAAAAACAGATACATTAATGAAACAATAGTTATAGAAACCATGTATATTATAATATTGTAATAAAAAACAAATAGAAGACTCGTTCTGCTATTGCTATGGAAAAAAAGCATTTATTCAAAAAAAATCATTAAAAATGAAATAAGCAAAAATATGCAAAAGAAGATATGATGACTTATCACCTTTTAGGACAGTAAAAATGCTTAGATTTTCTTAAACAGTATCTTTTCATATAGGAAAGTGAATATAGTTGGTACTTTGGGGAGTAAAACGTAAAAATTGTCTAGTAGTTTTCAAAAGCTCCTTGAAAAACAAAAGAAAAATTAAGGGAAATTGTACGCAAAATCTGTTTTCGAAAAAATCGATTTTGGTTTTTGGTTCAACTCTTAAAAATTTATTTTTATAGTCATTTTAAGTTCAAATTTGGACGAAATAACATAATATAGACCTAGAATACCTATTTTAGTTATTTCGTTGTGATTGAATAATATTTTTCGTGGGTACTTGAAACTTCTAAAGTACACTATTATATATTATCTATGATAATATCACGGTTTGCTGTTGATGTATAACGCGTTAAAAGTACATAATGAATTGTTATATGATTAATTTGAAATTTATTATATTATGTCAATTTTTATTTTTAATACTATCGATAAGTATATAATATGTCTTATACCTAGACTGACATACCGTCTCTGCTCAGAATCGTTTTTCTTATACAACGATATTGTATCATTGAATTCAAAGTTAATACCATCCATTATACAGTGACCCACTTGTAACCTACTGTACAGCAGAATACCTTTCTTATAAATAATGTTAAGTTTTTGTATAATTTATCTTTTCTACATTTTGTTAGGTGTGTTTAAAGAGATTGTAACTTAAAAAGGGTGCGATCCCAACAAACATTAAACATGATAATATTAATATTTGTAATGAAAATGTGGTATTACCACTAGGTCTCACCCCAAACCTAAATATTAATAAACTAATTGATTTTAGTAACGTCTCTAACTGTGTACAGACATTTATGGAACCATTTATAAATTCAATTTAATTTAACAATTTATAAACCCAAAAATGCTTGTACTCGTTTTTTTGTTTTTGGCTGGCTGCAAACTCTTCACCGTCTGTAATTTTTTTGGGTCCATCATTATCCTTTTTTTCTGAAACCACGTGACCTAGAAATATAATTTGATTTCTAAGAAATTGTGATTTTTGTAGGTCAATGGTGACGTTGAATTCTTTGAATATTTTAAATACTAGTTCTAAATGCTGTATATGTTCTTGAAAATTTGTAGACATGATATGGTTATCATCTACATATATTGCAGCAAACTGTAAAATTCTCGTTCCTAGTACTTTGTCAATGATCTTTGGAATTCTGCTACCGAGTTTACAACCAAACGGCAAAACTTTGAACTGGTAATTCCTCACAAATCAAACTTTTTTTACCAACAAATAATATGTTATTAATATTTTTAGAAAAAAAAAATAAAAAAAAATGGAAAATGTTCCCAAACAGTTCAAAACAAATCATAATATTTTGAAAATTTTATCGTGTATAGAAAATGCAATCAAGTGAAAATTTCATGTATATACGTTAATTTTTTTTTAGTTACACCAAAAATCAAAATCGATTTTTTGGAAAACCGAGTTTGCGTAAAAATTCCCGTTTTTCCTTAATTTTTATGTTGTTTTGCCCGGCGCTCGAGAAAACTATTGGGAATTTTAAAATTTGACCTCCCGAATGCACCAACTTGATTCACTTTCCCATCGAAAAAGTAACTGTTGATGAAAATCCAAGCAGTTTGAATCAATACATTCATCGTTCCACTCAGAATTTTCTGATTTAAAGCATGATTTAATTTATATATTCAATATTAATTAAAATTAATAATAGCTTAAGCCAATAAAAAATTGTTCCTCGAAAAAACTTATAATACCTTAACTCGTAAGTATCAAATTCTATAAATAGTAAATATCCAACACAATATGTTTTTATTCCCAATAGATTTCTTTATAAGAAATTAAATAATAAAAATATCTGTTGGCTTGTAAATATAATACAACAAACATTTATTCTTATAAATTTAATAAAACACTTAGATTCTAAATCAGTATACTATTTAAGTTTATAAAAGTATTTATGAGTGTGAATCATGGTAGAAATTACTACATCAGAGAATGTCAATATTGACAGAGATACCAAAATGTACTCAGACTTGTGTATTCCTCCAAATCAATATATCTCTATTCCTGTTCAAGTAACACTACCCAACAATAATACCTTGTCAACTAATTTTGCTTTATCGGATACAATTTTGGATGTGAAACGTTTCATTTTACCAGCCTTACAACCAAAAATAAAAAATATACAACAAATAAAATGTGTTATGCATGAGGGACATGAAGTATATGAAACAAATGACTATACAGTACTAAAACAAAAATGGAATAATTGTCCCATTCAAATATCAGTAAGTATCAAACATCATGAAGACATTGAAAAGATATACCAGGAACCCAATGCTTCACAACAGCCTAAGTTACATCCAGAGTATGGAAATATACTCGACACTAATGCCACAATGCCAAAACATACAACAGGATACAGAAATAAGAATACGGGTAGGCTGTATAGGAACACAATAGTACAAACAGTAAATGAAGATATCAACTTTGACGGTCAGTACAACGAGAATACAATTTCAATATCAATTCAAACAATCCAAACTAAAGACGGAAATACTGAATCTGTTGTTGAATGTGGTACTCAGACTGAATCAATGGATATTCTTCGATCGTTAAATGTTATAAGAGAAATAAGTAATCATTATAAGATAAGAAAATCTATGTATATTTAATTTTTGTCTTTTCTAACAATAGCTCCTTGTCCTGTTATACTCCCCGATGCAAACAGAATAAAAAAACTTGATAAATATGCTCGTATAATACAAAAGTCTGTGCGGTTCTGGATGACAAGGCAGAAATTTAACCGCATTTTGGAATACTATTACTACAAAAAGCAACTAACGTGTGATGAAGAGAAAAACTTAAAAAATATTATCAGGTTCGAGCAGTCGCAATATAAATTAAATCTACAGTTTCCCACTAAGACTAAGGATTTTGAAGCTCTTTATTCTGCAATTCATGATCATTATAATAACATTAAAAGTAATATAAAAAATAAATCACCAAAATGTGTAATTAATGAAAATAAAGAACACTTAAAAAAAGAATTGGAATGCTTTAAAGAAATAAACAAACAAAGGAATCAAGTTAATGAAATAGCAAAAGATAAAAAAATGTTTGGACAACTATATAAATTATCTAAGCCAATTATCATGACAAGAAGCAATGGTGAAACAATTTCCATCAAAACTCCAGAAACGTATCAAGCCAAACAATTGATGGAACTCTATATAGGCCTAAAGAGAAATGATCTGAGTAAAGATGAAAGAACTAATTTGCTTTTAAAGTTGCAAGAAACTTTAGAGCCCTTAAAAGAAATAGATTTAACAAAACAGATTATTAATTTGTTGAAGAGAGAGTTGACTATGTTGAATGTTATTCAAATTGAAGACAAAAATTTAAAAATTTTGAGGAAACGTATTGAAATATCTTTTCAACGGATTCTTAAACAACCAGAAATAAATCCAGCAATCACATCAAAAATGTCAAAACCTATAAACTTCATTAAATGCTATAACTGTAGGAAGTTGAAAACTTTAAATAGATTTGTGATGAAATTAAATTTAACAAAAGCAGCAACATGTAAAGATTGTAATCATTTGTATAGAATTACAATAGACCAAATTGTTTTAACACCCCATGAAAACATATTGACAAATATTAAAACAACTGAGGCACAACTGTGTACAAAAACTTGTTTGGCGTTTTTCTTAAATGCAGAAGATATATATTACCTTGTCACTATCATATGGAAAGGAAAATCAGCTATTAGCGACTGCAACGACATAGTACAATTGAGATTAGTGAGATGGAATAAAGAACTAGAATGGTCCCCTTCAAATACTATATTATTGAGTATCGAGGAGGCTTATTTTCATTCCAAGATCCGCAACATAAATAAAATGTATTCATCAACATTTATTGATAACATACATTTTAAACACATAGTTGCAAAAAAATATTTCAAAGGCTTAATAGAAAAAGCAGAGGAATGTGATCGTAATATAAAGAAAAATAACAGAAACAATTAAATAAAAATTCACATACATCTTTCTATAATTCAATAACAATTTACTCGTATACGTTATATTGTATAATATTTTTATCATGTATTATTATACCAACACAATTTTCACATTCCCTGAACACATGCATCTGTTTGATTAAGTAGTTTAAGACCCCTGACAAGGTCAGGCAAATTCATTGAATATTTTGGTTCCAAAGTCACCCTCGTGATTGACGTGACCATAGCTTTAATTTCTGCTAGCTAGAGTCGTAGACAAAGTAGCATTCTTCAAGATGTATTGTTCTAAATTACCAACACCTATATATCAGAACAATAAAATAAATATTTTATGAATGAAAAAATGATTTAAAAATATTTTTACCAAATATATTGCCAGCAGATATTTTGTCTACTAGTTATAAGTCTATACCCATTAACATGTACAAATAATTAGTTATGCTAGTTTTCATAATATGTTGATCAGATTTTAAAGTAGCCAAAGTGCATTTTTCGCCGACATAAAAATCCTAAAAACAATATTATGATATTTGTTTTTGTAACATAAAAATTACTCATATAAACATACACTATCTGTTATTTTTGATAGATTATGTTTTGGTCCTAGAACATACATTTCATGACCACGATGATTTGTACCTCTGTACATTCTTCCAAACGCAATAAACATAACATCATTTTCATTTTGCGTAGGCCGTAGGTTCTATAACTTCTGGTTTATTTTCTTCATTATTAACTGTTCTTTACTTCTGTTTTTATCACACTGCTTTTTAAAGAATGCCTAATTCTTGCCAACTCTCGTCGTTTAGCTATTTCCTCAGCAGTTAATACTTTTGGTTTACTTAGAGGTAAATATTTTCTTTTAAGCTAAATTTAAATAACAATAATTAATCAATTAGATGATATTATTTTATTTTAAAAATATAAATATATGCTAGTTGATTCCGTGCACTTCGTTGCCCTTTAAATTTATCAATAATTCCACATTAAAGCACTATGGTATTAGATTATTGCTAGTCTTGAGCCGTATCCATAGAATGTTTACTTAAAATTTATATATATTACAAACGTCAACACCCGGTAGGTATACAATGACTTAATTATGCAACGTACTTTTATCTCTGTATATGTATAAAACAAGAATAATGCAAGATACCAATTTTTACAAAACAAAAGTTGAATAAAAATTAAGTAACCGCTTAGAATAATATTGATTTTGTTATTTCACATATGTATAGGTATCTGTTACTTTAATATGATTTCATAAGTTAGAAAAAGTAGCTGATTGGTATACAGAATAATAAAATACAATTACCAGCACATGGTGACATTTATTTATATATTACTAGCTGATCCCGTGCACTTCGTTGCCAGTTAAATGTATCAACTCTATATGACACAAACTTTGTTCAATTCGTTATTTAATATTCGTTGGGAGGGTGTTCAAAATTTGTCTTATCTTTTCCGTTGCCCAGAATAAAAATTCTGAATAGCAGCAGTACATTATCAGGTGGAAATCTACCTGCGGTAGATCGCGGACAACGTGCTGTTTGTACGTATGTGTATTATTTAACTTTAAGTATCAAAGTTATACCAAGTTTGTCGTTTTTACTTAATTCCACTTACGGTATATTAAAATAACCAATTTATTTAATCCCATTAAATATAATTTATATATAAAAAGTAAAGCATATATTTTTTTTATTATTATTATTATTATTATAATAGCTTAAAAACCCATGGCAACCATTTATAAACAAAAAATTCCATCTGAAATCTCAAATTTCCCGTTTGAGCACCTCCCGGGGTTGGTCCTCTCCCTTTTTAAATTACCCTATGTTATAAGTTGGACCAAAATACACAGTGTAAAAATTTCATCAAGATCGGTAAAGTTGTTTTTACGTGAAAGAGAACAAAGTCACAAACGTTCACGTTTATAATATTAATAGAATATGTATATTGACAAAAGATATTAATACAAATCAACAAACATGCCAGTTAAACCAATAGCAACCAATATATTATATTCCGGTATATTTTATTAAAATTTTCTTTCAGATAAACCTTCTCCGTGAAATACTCTTTCGTTTGAAAATAAATTCAAGAAGATCTGATAAGTAGTTACAGAGTTTAGCCTGTACAGAGATTTTCATTTCACATTTTTAAAGTTCGCTATTATATTATAATTTATATTTAAAAACTAAAGCAAATATTTTTAGACTCTGAGCAGAGAGGGGAAGCTAGTGGTTTTAGGATGGTGTTAATTTTTTTTTTTATATATCCTGTATATAAAAATTCTACCAAAAGGAGTGCTTCGATTTCAAATCCGTAAAGTTACCGGCTTACCTACCACTCCACGACGCGACGTTTTGATACACTATTTAGGAAGGTCATAAACTCCGGAAAATGTATAGGTGATATAGTCTATATCGTATTATATGACCGGAATATAAAAAAAATTGTCCGGAACGTATATTTCCGGAATTCGTATTCAAGTATAATCCCGGGAATTAATTACCCAGACTGTATATTCCAGGAACTAAAAACCTATAATGGATCGATAATATAGAATTTCAAAAAGGTTAAGGAGATTTTGATGACTTTACCGCACGGCACTTTTTGAGATTTCAGTGCAGGCGGGACAAAAAAATGATAATTCGTTATGCAAGGGGGTTTTAATATGGATATAAGATGTAACCAAACGTTTATGTAATTATGTCTTGCAAGGATCGTGATATAAAATGCATTATCTGGTTGTGCAAGGAATACGTGTGATAGTATAGCACTTTACAGCCGGCTGAACGGAATAAGGTAACTTTCCAACGCTTTAACAGTTATTGAAAACTAAAATATCGGTGCAGGCGTGACACAAAATTATTTATATTTCATTTTAATAGAATAAGTGCACTTTTATAGTCTCTGGTAATAACAACAACCTTCCTTTAGTTTTCAAAATGTTATAGTATGATATTATTATATTAATCTCTCAACATTCACTGAATATGGTTTAGCCGGAACTAGGAAGGCAAAAATATTACACAAAAATAAAATATGAATTGATGTATAATACTATAATACTATAATACTATGCAGCATAATAAAGGACAACACTTTTTATACATTTAAGAGAATAAAAATCATACTACATAAATATACATAAAAGTATTTAGATACATTTACTTAAATACATAACAAGACTGGATATAGGCTTATTTGGTGTTTCTGTGTTCCATATTATTATGTTGTATAGGGAAATGTGAGTACCCAGTACACACTGTTCAATCACTACCAAATTTGGATCTAAAATATGAAATTAAACAGATAAATGTATAAATCAAAAATCGAAATGGAAAAACCCGCTTTATTGACTTCACACCAAATCGCCACTGCAGGTAATGCCGGATGACATTAATATAAATACATAATGTAATAGTATAATGTATAACGGTTTGGGGCAGTAAAAATGTTTTAATTAACTACTTACATGGAATCTTGTTTTAAATTTTAAATCCTTAGCTATAAAAACTAAACATTTTTTAATTTATTAATTACAATGATTGATAATTTTTAAGATTTTTATAAATTTTGTTAAAATTCGAACTTTAAATGATTATAATAAAAATGTGTAACTATATAATCTTAATAATTTTCAATTGCTATTATAACAATATATCAGGAGCGTTGTACTAAATTTTTAAAAAAAACTATAAAAATTGAAAACTGAAAATGTCCTTAAACGGTTAAAAAAGAATCAAAATATTTTCAAAATTGTATGGTGTATAGAAAATGCTAATATAACCATTCAGTGAAGTTGTCATGTATCTACAGTTATTCGTTTTTGAATTGTGTTGGGCCAAAAAGTGTAAAAATTTAATACAAGGTGCTTGATATATTGTTCCAATATCAGTTGAAAAATATTAAAAATACATAGTCACGATTTTTTTTTATAAGCATTTAAAGATCGAATATTGACAAAATTTATCTATTTAAAATTGAATAATTACTTTGAAGTTAAAAATGTATAAAATGTTCAACTTTTATATCTAAGGACTGAAAATTTATCACAAGATGTAAGTAGTTAATTCTATTACCGAAAAATCTAAAAAATACACATTCACAGTTGATTTTTATAGGAAATTTAAGTTCAAATTTGGACGAAATTACATATAAAAATCAATATAAACGATTTTGGTTTTTTGTTGTAATTTAAAAATATTACTCGGGAATATATGAAACTGAAAAATCAAAATTATTAAGAAGTATGCTCAATGATAAGACTGTGCATATTTATTTTTATTACCATTGATATGTATATAATATATCCTAAACCTACACTCACAAACCGTTTCCGCCTTTGTCAAAAACCGATTTTGCTTAAAAATTCCCTTTTTTCCTTTAATATTAGGTTGTTTTACCCGGCACTTGTGAAAACTAATGGTAATTTCAAATTTTGACCACCCCAATGCACCAAAAGCACGATATTCACTTTAAAATCAAACAAGATACCGATGTGGAATATCGAAGCATTATTTCGACTATTTATCGTGTACACAGACACAAAAATAAAAAAAATTAAACAAAAATCAAACATCATTTTAAAATCAATACATTCATCGTTCCACTCAGAATCTTAAAGTAGAGTCTGGATTATTACAGGAGTGAATAAATATATAGTTGAAAACTATAAATTTTTTTTTAAATTTAAAGTTAGTTTCCAACTATTTAAATTTTTGTATATACCTAGGTGGCTAGGTACAGTATATTGTACTTAGATCCAGAGTTGCCTTTTATGCAACGCATCCCAATTTATATCAGAAAAAAGAAAACAGGTGGTATCAGCATAATATATTAGGTACCATTGCACCATGACCACCTACATTTAAATCACAAACACAAAAAAAAAATTATGTTTGTACAATATATGTATAAGTTAAATAAAATTGGACCCAATACACCACAAAAAATGTTTAAAGGTGTGCAAGTTAATGAAAATAATTAACTGTAGCAAGAAAAGATAATTCAACTAAATTGCCTTCAGTTAAGTTAAAAGTTAATAAAAAAAATTTTAACCAGATAAGTTTAATATAGAAAATAAAATTAACTTAACTTAGTTAAAAAAAACTTTATTTTATAGTTACGATATTTCTAAGTCATAAACTGCCCTAGTATTTTGTTATACACAAACATTTACCTAGACGTTTTACACTGAGTACAAAATTGGATTATTATAATATATAATTCGAAAATAAATAACTATTTATTAATTACTATCTGTTAGTATCTTGAAGTATATTTTTTTTTTAAAAATGGACTTATAACAAGTGTGAGGTAATAATAGGTATGTGTGTGTGTTGTTTTTGCAATGAAATGACAGATTTGAATAAGCCGTAATTAGCAAAGGTTGACAAGTTAATGAAAATAATTAACTGTTGCAAGTTAAAAAAAAAAATAAATTTATAAAATGTTCAACTTTTATAACTAAAGATTGAAAATTTAAAACAAGGTTCCATGTAAATAGGTAAATATATAAATTACTTTATTCACAATAATAATATCATCAAATATACTTAGTAATATCATAGGCTGACTAACCGTTTTCGCTCAGAATCAATTTTTTTTATACAATGATATTTTTTTTTTTTTTTTATTAGCTTCTAGTTAAAACTAATA